TCGACTGTTTTCATTTTTTGGTTAAATATAGTGCGATACAATGGCCCAAAAAATTTAAAGAAAACAAATGGTATTCCTTTTTTGTATCACATTGAAACGTACGACTGTCACGTATGCGACGTATGGAAATACCCATATTTAACAATTTTATTTGATACTAATGTAATTTTTCATTTAGATTGCAAAACACCAGCGACTTAGCTACAACTAAAGCTATATATTGAGATTTTATATATAATTATTAAGTTTAATTGATATTTTTTTTTTTGTTTACAGATTTGGCATTCACCATCAGCACCTTCAACGCCTGCAGCTTCAACGCCAGGAGCATCATCAGAAAACTTAGTTTGTAAATGATTAATTTTAACTGTTACTATACATTAAAAGAAGGGTAAATCGATTACCATTCTTTTGATTATAATATCGCTGAAATCGCTTTACATTTTTATAAAAATTTTGCACCTTTTCCAAACATCTATAAGTAAGCAGTGAAAAAGTGAAAATTTGCAAAGTTGTAACAAAACTAACTGTTGTGAACCGGTGTAAATGATTTGCAACTGATAACATATATGAAAAGAAATGTAAATCGATTACCTTTTGTTTGATTATAAAATCACTGAAATCGCTTTACGCTTTTATAAAAATTTTGCACCTTTTGCAAACATCTATAAGTAAGCAGTGAAAAAGTGAAATTTTGCAAAGTTGTAAAAAAATAATTGTTGTGAACAGGTGTAAATGATTTGCTACTGCTAATATATATCAAAAGAAATGTAAATCGATTACCTTTTGTTTGATTATAAAATCACTGAAATCGCTTTACGGTTTAATAAAAACTTTGCATCTTTTGCAAACATCTATAAGTAAGCAGTGAAAAATTGAAATTTTGCAAAGTTGAAACAAAACTAATTGTTGTGAACCGGTGAAAATGATTTGCAACTGTTAATATATATCAAAAGAAATGTAAATCGATTACCTTTTGTTTGGTTATAAAATCGCTGACATCGCTTTACGTTTTTTAAAAATTTTGCACCTTTAGCAAACATCTATAAGTAAGCAGTGAAAAAGTGAAATTTTGCAAAGTTGTAACAAAACTAATTGTTGTGAACCGGTGTAAATGTTTTGCAACTGTTAATTTATATCAAAAGAAATGTGAATCGATTACCTTTTGTTTGATTATAAAATCACTGAAATCGCTTTGCGTTTTTATAGAAATTTTGCACCATTTGCAAACATCTATATGTAAGCAGTGAAAAAGTGAAATTTTGCCAAGTTGTAACAGAACTAATTTTTGTGAACCGGTGTAAATGACTTTTAACTGTTAATATATATCAAAAGAAAGGTCAATCGATTACCTTTCCTTTGATTATATTATTGCTAAAATCGCTCAACTGTTTTATAGAAATTTTTAAACTTTTGAAAATATC